AACACCCAGTCCCACAGTACCGGTAGATTTCATCTCGGTATTCCAACTCTCCATCTTATTTCAAACAGTTCAACAGTTAGAAAAAAATAGATTGGAGACCTTCAAAAAATAATTTAATATCACACACACAGAAACCAACCCTTCTGGAAGAAGAAAACCCTACCTGGGGGGGAATCTCTCTCCTCCCCACGCCTCCCAACAGAGAGAAAAGTGAATCGATCACTCCGGGAGGCCCAAAAAATTCTAGAAACCAAACCGCCTTCTTTAGAAAATCAAAAGAAAACTAACAATACCTGGGCACCCGAGATCAAATAAAAAACAAAGAGTCCAACTTTTCTGGGACTCTTCCCCGTACTCCAGTTGATGTCGAACAGTAGATCACCTTCCTGATGACTAGATCCCACCAAAAACTCCAAGAACTGGGCAATCTATAACAGATTGATCAGCCCTTTACTACTTCATGCAGTCGGCTGATCTAGGGCTGCATGAGAATGCTTCAAGAAACCCTAGTCGATGCTCTGATACCAAGTAGAAATCTGTTGAATTAAAAAATATAAAAGAAAAGTAGTTTCTTGAAGAGAGAAGGAGAAGAAGAGAAGAGAAGAGAAGTTGAAAAGAAAAGAGAGCAATAATCTGGCTGCCCCCTTCACTTATTATTTATACTAAAATAATAGAACAGTACAAAGACAACTATGCCCTTATAGGGCGGCAAAACATAAAACAGCATATATAGCACTCAAAAACATAATAAAATTTGGACTCACATAACTACTGTGGTCCCCACTTCCTATCTAACAACTAACATAAAACATCTACTCAGAAAAACATCATAAAACTAATTAATCTTCAACACCTTTACTAGTTTTCATGGTGATATCTCAACTTCCTTGGTCCAGTATGAAATTGGCACTTTATTCATTTGGGAAGTGGTGTGTGATATTTAAATGAAAGTCTTTTAGATAACAAAAACGGTACAAATTTGCCAAAAAAAAAGCAAAAAAGATCTTCCAAAGGCCCACAATGTGTTAGGTAAAGCCACCAGATGGCCTCCACATTAAGGGAATGCGCCGTTGAAGGATGGGTCTCCAATGGCTTGGGCCTATTCTGTTATATTGGTGAAAGCCCATTTAAACCAAATTAAACTCGATTGAATGATTTAGATAGGTTATATGTACTAATTCAGACATTCGACCACTGAGGGTCCTATATTCTATTAAGTCATAAAACCTTGAGTATTCAGTCTATTTCATCCCATGTCAAGTGCAACTTCTTTGCCTTCCATGGAAAACTTGAGAAATCTTATGTTTTTTGTTTTTTGCATATATAAATAACAGTGAATTTCATTGATTGGTAAATAAAAAGATGAACAAGACTACTCTCAAAGTCTCTTGGTTAAGTAGGACTGAACAACAAAACAGCTATTGGCTAGTAATGTCACTCTTTAGATTTTATATATAGATACAAATTTTTACCCGGCCTAGGCAATGCCCATTCTAATTCATTCTTCTTTACTGCCGTCGTTACTAGTTTTCTGCTAAGCTGTTTGCATACTTTGGAATCTATCTGAATGAGCAGTTCAGATTGGAATATAGAGCTAATGCCATAATCATAAATCTTAAACTCCAAGGTCACTTGGTTTTTTATTGTATCAGCTAACAACAACTTACTGATCACCTTCCACACAAGCCCATTCCATCCTATGCCATGCACTAATTTCAGCACTTGTTTAAATTTATCAGCCCTCACAGAGCTACTCAGCCCACCTGGGCCTGAATAGCTCACCAAAATGTTGCCTGCATGACATCTAATAATTCCCACAATGTAATTGCCCCAGGTTCCCAAGAAAACCACCACCAAATTTTATTTAATATGCCCTTGTGTTGGTGCTTTCCACAGTTCATAAATTACTTGTTTTGGAGGGGAAAAACTAGATATCATCAACCATCGTCTAAGAATTGAATAAGCTTGATTCCTTTAAATTCATCCCTTGTCTTGCCCCTTGTGCTTCTGTGATCATGCAAAGGTTGATGGTGCTTTCTATGATTTGATATTTATTTTCATTATTTGTTCATTACACCCTCCCTCCATAGAATTTCTGCCCTTGTACAATTCCATAGTAAATTCCCTCTTTTGGTGGTGATGTGAAGAAACTGGAAGGAGAATAAATCTACAATCTCCAAGGGGTTGACCAAGTGACTCCAAATAGATTGAAGAAATTACATAACACCTTTGTTGTGAAATAGCACTCCAAAAAACTTGAAAAATCTTATGTTATCCACATTTACAACAGGTCACAATTAGGCATTGTTGTTTTTGCTGTAATTATGTCTGCTTGTGGTTAATATGACCATTAAGGACAGGTTTTCCTGCTTTACTGGCCATATTCGTGTTATAATTTAGAAATTTAGAATGTTGAGTATCATTTAATTATTTTCATCAAAGAAAAATACTGAAATAATATCCTATGATAATATGTTACTGTTATATTTGAAAATCTTATCTATATTATAGTGTCTGTTATTGTCATTATTGTGGTGATAACAGTCATGATTTCCCAATGTTGGGTATCCATATTCTTTGGCCAGTACAGTCTTCACATGGTCTTTTCTTGTCCCTATGCTCATGGTCTCTTTTGCCACAGGCTTCATTTTGTATGCTCTCTTGCTTTACTTGTACTTTATGGATGACATCAGGAGTAGGACTTGTACTAGTACAGGAATCCCCTCGAAAAAGCATTATGCCGAAATAGGAAGTTGCCTTCTCTGTGAGATTACTTGGGGCTTTAAAGTTGGGATAAGGCTTAGATTATGATGATTCTCTAACTTTGGTATGAGTGTCATCAGAAAGTGAATGTTGCGGTTCTTTTAATTGGCCCTTAGATGAAGCCTGATGATAAAACAGATTAATGTGGAATTTTCATTTGGTATAATACCCAAATTAGTTTGAAGGCATCCAACAGAAAACTGTTGAGGAGGACCAATGAAGGTAACGGACTTGTTTTTTTTTTTCTGACACTGCTAGAGTGAACTCTCTGCTTTCAACTACCAAGTTCCTTTTTTCTGTCCTTTCGAATGCAAATTAATTGGATTATCCTTCACTTTTTGTCTAGTATTCTACTTTGTCAACCGTGTCATTACTCATTAGAAGAACTTTGAAAATGTTAGAACCATGCGGGGAGTTCTCTGGTAACAGTTTTTGAGAACATGCAACTCTTATTGAAATTTAAAGGACATGTTTTGTTATATCCATAAACACAGTTTTCATTCTATGGTCAATCTTCATTCTGTCAAAGATATGTAAAGATTAATATCATCATTTGCTTCTTGTGTTCATGACATGGAAAAGTGAGAGATTCTCAACCATCCAAATTTACCACAAAAAGTAAGGCATCATCATATTTTGCAGCAAAGATTAAATATGATTTCTGATCAGAGAAAGAGAAAGAAATACATTTGAAATTCAAAGTTTTTTTTTGGTTGGAAATGAAAGAGAGGACGCTACACAAATCTGGGGGTAGTGCATCCCCATTCCCATTAATCCTCAAAAGCTATGTGATCAATGATAGTGTTTGAGACATCTCTTTCCTGGTTCTCTCTCCCCTGCTTTGACCTGAAATTCAAATATTATTGCAAAGATTCAAACTGAAAATTGAACTCCATAAGCCAAGAATTTTTACTAATGAATTTGATTTCTGATGTAATAAAATTGTTTTATCCAAATGCTAGCTGCTCATGTGCATGAACTTCCTTGATATTGAATTTTCAGGTTCCACACATGCTGAACTTGATCAATCTTTGGTAATCTGTATGAATTTTCTTTCAAGATGGATTTCATGGTTCCCTTCTTACTGAACTTGGTGAATGTGGATATATACAGGAGATATTTTACAATAGGGAAACCTATAACAAGTCCAAACAATCTGTTGATCATCTCATTGGGAAGTTTGTGGCAGAAGTACTTGGAAAAGACTTGTTATCAGAAATTGAATCTGGGTTTAGTGACAGGAAAACTGATCTAGCAACCAGGGTTTCCTTCAAGGTAAGAATTTGAACTTCACTTTTGGTTGATTACAAATGAAATTCTTTTTTTTTTCGGTAGAAACAAAAAATGGTCTGATCATATTACTTGGTCTCCCACATGAAATGCCATGATGATGATATATATGCAATATTATGTGGTCTCCCACATGATAAAATGGTCTGATCATGCCAGTTAATGAGCACCTCAAATTCCTATTATTTTTGTCCTGTTTCACTGGAAAATTTTGTCTTGCAGTATGGGTGTTCAAGAGGGGTGACAGGGACACCTTTTTTCTTCGTTAATGGGTTCCCATTGCCTGATCCTGGTTCAGCTATCGATTATAAAGGATGGAAGAACATCATTGATCCACTTATTGGTGCACAGAGTCAAGGAAGATAGGATATTCATTACTTCCTCTGAGCCTTGACCTGAGAGACCTTACACATCTCATGCTGTCTACGTTTTAGGTGTTTCATGTGGAACAAAGGTGGCAACTTTTAATTAGATCATTGTTAATAGTTGATGGGCATATTATCTGCATACCGTTGATGACTACTTAACTAGGATTGTTAGGACCTTAATATGTGGCATCTAAATCAAATGCAGCCTTTGAATTGGTTATTCAAGCTGTGATCCAGTATGTACAAAATGAAGTTGATTTGATATTTGCACTCTTGTTATTGATAGCTTTTAGTAGTTCAGTTCAAGTCATAGTTCTTGATAGCTTGATCCTTAACGGCTAAACATAAGCTATCAGACTTGTGTAATATGGGATTGTTGATCTTAAACCTATATTTCAGTACCTTGGTTGTTATGGAAATAAATTTATTTCATGGAAGCTTGCAAAAATTTACGAGAACATTTACATTTGGTACTCGTATATAGTGTCTTTTTTTTATAGTTTTTTATGGGCAACCCAGTATAGTTGGTGCAAGGCTTAGATGATCATGATGATAATAATGAGATAACTAGCATCCACCAGTGTCTCTTACTTAGGTCAGGTGGTGAGACCATGAAAGTAACTTTGCTATTTCCAATCATATGTTTATTCATTATTTTTCATTTTCTTCACTTTGTTACACCAAGGCATTTTGAAATTAATGCACCTAGTCTTCACCCATTAGCCTCAACTATTGATTCAGAATATTACGTGGGTTCCATGCAAATGTTGAATGTTGCCCCATTCTGTTCATCTCTCAATTTTCTTCTTCTTCCTCTTCTCTCTCCCCACTTTTGCATGTGCCATTCAACTGGTTTATTCTGTGGGAAAAAGGACAAAAGGAAGAACCATTTACAACCCCCAATTAAGGTTGTGTTCGGTACCATTGGTGTTTCAAGATGTAATGTTTTGAGCTGAAAACACAAACACACCACTGTATGTGCTTGAATCCTGTTCAGTGAAAAATGTTTGCTTTTCATCCATGCCAGCACGGCAGCACCACATTAGTTGAGACTTGGCTTCCCAGAGAAACACCTGACATGGATTTCCATGCCAAGTATTTTATGGCTGTTTTAACTCAAAGCCAAACAAACAATTGACCATTAATCTCAAAACGCCTATATGGTGCTGATGTGGTAAAACGCCTATGGTACTTATAAATGAATCATAAACAGGGGGCACGCCTGTGGGCCAGACAGACTATCATGTCCTCCATTCCGTCTTGTTGTATGTATGAGAAACTGACAATGAAGGCTGAAGAAGAGGAACTGACAAGCAAACCGTAACGGTAGGACAGGATTCTTCTGTAAAAGCAAAACTGGAACCTGTTGCTTGATAACAAAAAGAGATGCCGTGGCCACTGGCCCGAGTAGATGCGGCAGGTAAAGACTAAAGTCTGAAATGAAGTGGAAGCCTAGCTAAGGTCTGACTGCCTAAAGACTAAAGACTAAAGACTAAAGTCTGGCCACTAGCATTTGGCACAATGGCAGGACTATCGTCCATTGGCCCGACCCCAAAGGGCCAAAAGGACCAAAACCCTTCTTGACCCAACTTTTTGCGGTTCACATGAATGATTTTGAGTTCGTTTGCTTATGCCACGCATTATTCTCGGGCAGGAGGTAGTAGTAATAGTACAGCGGTACAACCCTGGTCATGGTATGGTCGTAGGCTCCTAGCCTGAACCCTTGTAGTCAAAACTCAAAACTCGTCCCTCCCTCAAATATCATTTAAGTCAATGTTCTCGACTTCCTTCGTTTTGATAATTGATTCATCCTAAAACAATTACCCCTTTCAACTATGTGATACAGACATACAGTGATAGTGATAATACGAGTCTGCATTTCGTACACCTCCTACGTTAATTATAATCGACTTCCATGGTTTATCCGATGTATCGTATCGTATTGTATCTTTTGAAAAAGATACAGTCCAAGACGCCTGTACCAACTTCCATGGTTTACCTCAACTTTTTTTAATAATAAAAAGCATGCTTTAAGATTCCCAAAAAACTAAAATTTGAAAAAAAAAATAGGTGTTTTGGCCATTTCTAAGTACCGATACAATATGGTTGATATGCGTATTGTATCGATACTTTAGACCTTGCTTCATAGTGTTGGAAGGATTAGCATCCATCATATGGATGGCCGAACTATGTTACATGGTTGGGTGAAATTTCAAAATTTTCATAATCCTTCCGGGAGTCGAATTCCCTATGTTTTGAAAAATTGCATTTTTTAGGATTAATCTTGCACTAAGCCGATATTACAAATGCATATCAGCAACACCCTGAATGGATATTACAAATGCATATCCCAAGGTAGAAACTCATGCCCAAATAAGTCTTAAAACCAGCCTCCAATGAAAATGGCGTAGTGTATTTCTAAAGCTGATTCAACAACACAATTTTCTGTAAAACTGAGATCCAATTGCTTTGATCGAACTAAGGATGATGAGCTTGATATCCCGTGAATTTTTCTTGCAAAAATCAAAGGAAAACTGATCTAAATTAGTCCCAGATAGCTGATGTCGAATAGGAAATAAATTGGGAGACAAAAGGGTGCAAAGAGAATTAGAAACTGCAAAAATATGAAGCTATCTTGGACTTGTCTGAAGGAAGGGTTAGGATCCATCATATAAATGGCCAAACCATGCTAGATGGCTGGGCAAATTTTCAAAAATTTTCTAATACTTCCAGGAACTGAATTCCCTATATTTCGAAAAATTGCATTTTTCAATGTCGGTCTTGCATTGAACCAGACCAGATTTGAAACCAAACAAAGAGGGAGACATATACTTGATACGGGTACTACAAACGCAGATCCCAAGTTGGAAGTTCACGCCCAAATCAGTCCTAAAACCAACATCTACTGAAGATGGCACAGTGTATTCTTGAAGTCGGTTCAACAACGCAGTTTTCAGCAAAACTACAATCCAATTGCTTAGATTAAACTAGGGAGGTGAACACGAAATTCCTCTGGATTTTTCTAACAAAAATTAGAGAAAAACTTATCTATATTCCCAAATAAGCTGTAGTCGAACTAGGGTTTCTTGGAAGACAAAAGAAGAGAGAGGGAGAGAAAGCATAATTGAGAGGTGTTCTTGTTCAGTTCGCCCTCTTCTTCTTGGAGCACTTCTCCTAATCAAATTATGATATTATCCAAATCTAATTTGGATATGGACTACATTGAGAGATAAACATTATCCTCTTAAGAGGATATGTGTTCCATACCCATTTCCAAACCCAGATTCGCCCCATGTCACATGAGCTATAAGGCTTACGATCCAAGGGTGTTGCATGGCCAACTTAGGCCTTATTTGTATGTCGTGAGACCCCACAATGATCTCACATAAGTCCACATGGGTCCGAACCAGCCTCTGTGAAAAGGACTGGCTGAATTCACTGCTAAATGTAGTGAACCCCCTAAGCACATCACTATGGGGTCAAAACGGGCCCAACATTTATGCTTAAATGATCATTGAATTCAGTTATCCTATGAAGACCCAAGGATAATTAACTTAAATAAGAAAAATCCCGTCAGGTAATCAGCCCTGTAACGGTCTCTTACACTTAACCACTCGAGTTATAATGATCAAACACTGTCTGATAGGGAAGGACCTCTCCCCTGGCTACAAAGTGCAGTGTCACACTCTACTCAGATGGATCCCGGGAATTAAAATATTTTGCAAATATTTTTCATAAAACGTATATATATATATTAATATATTCTGCAAAACAAAATCTCAAACATAGTTGAAATCCACTACCGACAGTTTAGGTTTCCATTAAGAGAGTGTAAACCCTATCATTCACTTTGTCCGACAAAGGGGCTGGTCCTATTACTATGATCACCCACTTAAGTGAATTCTCAGACTACTCCAATATACCCAAGGTTTTGACCTTCAATGGATCTCACGAATTGGCACATCAAAGACATCCCAATCCAACACCTAGTGTAGTACTATAATCAAATCTAGGGGTTATGTATAACTTTCTAGTTTTGCCCATCAATCTCCAAGGTCAAGGGCATAACTGGAAAATGGTTTGGGTTCAACATTTCAACCAAATACACACTGCATGTGCTTTGGGTCTAACCTTAGCTGCTGCGACAAGCTACCCCAACTTCTTTGACAGCATATCAGTGTCAACCTTGGTAGGATAAACTCCCAAAGTCTATCAAACGGCTGAGAACATTCTAAACTAACACGAGTCTCATAAGTGTGCAGTTTAAGGGGTAATTTCATAGAAACATACTAATGTCAACTTGAAACAATAATGTATTTTTATTCATTTACAATAAAATGTATCTGTACATCAATCTAATTGAAGCTAAAGGCATACATTGTCTAACATGGCCCACCCCATCCTCTTTTATAATCTCTTATGGAGCTATCCCCTAATCTAATTAGGAGATAATCCAGATATAAATTAGATATGGACCCTAATTAGAGATATACCTTATCTTCTTATAAGATTAGGTGCTCTATACCCAGATCTAAACTCAGATTCGCCACACGTCACATGACAATTTAATTAATCATATTAATTATGAGCCTTAGGCCCATCAACTATGAGGTTCACGATACAAGAGTGTTGCATTGCCAACTTAGGCCTGATTTGTATGATGTGAGACCCCATAATGACCTCACATAAGTCCACATGGGTTCGGTACAACCTTTGTTTAAAGGTTTTGCCGAATTCACTACTAAACACAATAAACCTCTTAGCACATCACTATGGGTTCAATATGCGTCCAATATTTACACTTAAATGATCTTTGAATTCAACCATCATTTGAAGACCGAAGGATAATGGATTTAAGTAAGATAAAGCCCATCAGGTAATTAGCCTTGTAATGGTCTCTTACACTTAACCTCTTGGCTCATAATGATCAGAACACTGCACGATAGGGAATGACCTCTCCCCTGGCTACAAGGTACAGTGTCACGCTCTCTACTTGAATGGATCCCAAAAATTAATTCATTTTTGCAAACATTTTTCATAAAACATTAATATATATCATATAAATATATTTTGCAAAACCAAATCTCAAACACAATTGAAATCCATTTCCGACAGTTTAAGTTTCCATCAAAGAGAATGTAAGCCCTATCATTCACTTTGTCCGACAAAGGGGCCGATCTTATCATTATGATCACCCACTCAAGTGAATTCTCAAACTGCCCCAACATACACAGGTTTTGACCCTCAATGGATCTCACTAATTGATATATCAAAGACAATCCAGTCCAACACCTATCTAGGGGTTATATATAACTTTCCAGTTTTGCCCATCAATCACCAAGGTCCAGGGCATAATTGGAAATGGTATAGTTTCAAGATTTCAATCAAACACACATTGCATGTGCTTTGGGTCTAACCCTAGCAACTGAGACAAGCTACCCCAACTTCTTTGGTAATACATTAGTGTCAGTCTTGGCAGAATAAACTCTCAAGTTTATTCAATGGCTAAAAACATGCTAAATTAACACGAGTCTCATAAGTGTCCAATTTAAAGGGTAATTTCACATAAACATATTAATATCAATATAAAACAATAATGTATTATTATTCATTTACAATAAATGTATTTATAGATCAATTTGATTAGAGCGAAGGGCATACACTGTTCTAACACATAGGTGTTTTATTTTTGACCTCGTTTGTTTTTTGCTATATCGATTTTTCCGAGCAATTGATTTTTGGGGAAACTTGCCTTGGGTGTTTGTTGGAAGAGAATGGCTTCAATGCTTAGAAGACCGGGTTAACACCATTTGCATAGTCTTTTACAGTTGTAGATTGGGATTATCTCCCCACTTAGTACCCTTTTTTTCCTTGTGAGAAGATATTTCTATTTTCTAATGCAAGATTGCAAGACCGCGAGAACAAAGTAGCATGGAGGAACAAATCTGATTTCTTACCGGAGTGGTAAGGCAGAAGGCGGGAAACTCAATTAACTGAATGCTTTAGCTATATAGCAGGCCGTGGGACCAACGTTAATACACCAACACTCGTTTTTATGCAAAACGAACAAGCCCAAAAGATCGGTCAAGCCCGTGCTCACACCGTCCCAACGGTCTCTTGCAACCTTACAGGCGTTGCCCTCGAAAGGATCTGTGCTTTAGTGTTGGAAGTAGGAAGTGTAGGAATTCAGGTCTCCCTAATCACATCCTCATCCTATCGCTCGCGCGACTAGTTTCTACTTTCTAACGGCGATGGTTAAAATCTGAAATGTCGCTGTTGAGAACATTGTTTAACGTCCTCAACTGTCATCATCAATCAAGGCGGGACCCATTTTCCCACACAACTCCTCTACACCAGAAATGTGGTGTCTACTTTCCTCAACAGTTTACAGTTTCAGAGAAGAGAGGAGCCGGTTCATGTTCTAACGTGTCGATCTCTCCCTGTCTATCTCCCTCTCTCTATCGTGCCCTGGTTATGGTGAACTCAAATCTCTTTCACCATCCAAGATCTAGGATTTCTTTCCAATTCGGATCTTTCTAGGGCTTATGAGTATTCAAGCGTTCCGGATCGGATTCTTCTAGCCATGGCTTCTTTCTTTGGATTTCTTCTCATTTTGCTGTCGGTTTCGACATGGGTATTTGCTCCTCAGAGCTGTCATGGCAGGGTATTCAGCTTTAAGATGCACCATAGGTTCTCGGAACCAGTGAAGAGATGGACCCAAATGATCGGGAAGGGAATCGGCCCCGACGATTGGCCGGAGAAGGGTAGTATCGATTACTATGCTGCATTGGCTGATCGCGACCGGATCTTGCGAGGCCGTGGCCTTGAGGACGTGGATCGACCCGTCACGTTCTCTGATGGGAACTCGACTTACCGGATTAGCTCGTTGGGCTTGTACGTGTCATAAAGTACCTCTAGTTTTTGTTTCTTCCTTTTCTTGGTTCTCTGATTTTGTTTGAGAATTCTAAGTTTCATTTCTTTTCTGTTCCCTCCCCCCCCCTCCCTTTTTCCCTTGGAGATAAGAGATTCTAGTTTTTGGTCTAAGTCTATATTTGCTTATTACTCTCAACTCCTTTGATTTTTGTGGAAATTCAGTTTGCACTACACTACTGTTTCATTGGGGACGCCGAGAAAGAAGTTTCTGGTGGCGCTTGACACTGGGAGTGACCTATTTTGGGTCCCTTGTGATTGCAACAAGTGCACACCAACGTTGGATACAAGCTATGGATCAGTATGTAGTTTTCATTCTTTCCTTTTTCTTTCTTTTGCTGGCCGAGTTGGTATTTCAAGCATTCTGACACTTAAGTTCTTTCGTTGCCTTTCCTTGAGTTAAATTGATGAGAAGTCAAATGGGTTTATGGAATTAGAATAGTTTGATGGTGGAAGTGCATTGACTCCTTTTACTTTTAATTGCCCTTTTAAGAATGATCTGGAACCACGTGGTGACAGTGCAGAGCTTTAACCAATTGAGCTACCTTATTATACCCAGACACGCAGAGAGACTAGAGTATGAGACAGGATCCTTTTTGTACTTTACAAGTCCTGGTTGTATTGAATCGATTCTATTACTGTCAACAGTTTTTCAGTTTTGGTCTTCCTGTGTGTCTTAATTTTTGTCCATGATTGTGGGTTTCTTTTAAAATATCATTTTGTTCTTTGTAGTGTATGTTCCAAATATTTTGTTTTTCTTCTTTCAAGTGTAGTGCGTTCTTTTGAAACAAATAAGACAAGGCATTTGGTGGGAAGTAAAACAAAGGGAGTGCGAACTCATATTGGAGAGGATAAAAATTTAAATTTCTCCACGGTAGAATGTTAGATAGTTCACTTTGGCCAATTGAAATCTGAAGTTTCACATTAGAAAAGCTACAAGTTTTTGTGTAACATAGCAATCCTGTCTTTGAAGAATTCTAGTCTGTTTACAGGATTAGCTGCTGGAAGGCATGATATGTTTTTGTTCATACATGAAAAACCAAATAATTTTTCTCATATCACTTGCATACATGAGAATTTGGTTGGATAACACTTAACAAGCTATCTTTAAGGCTATGTTTGGTTTGAAGGAAAAAGTAGGGAAAGGTAGGGAAACCTATACAAGGTTTGTAAAGGTTTCCCTACCTTTCCCTTTCGCTACTTTTTCCTTCAATTCAAACCAAACACAGCCCAACTGCCTAAGTTGATCAATTTGAGAAAATCCATGGCATTCTTATTCTTATTCTTTTGTTTTATTCATTCATTATGGTGGTAGGAGAATTTCTGTCATTTTGAGTCTAGAATCTTTATGTAATGGGATATAAATGAAAGGGTGCATGCTCAGATCAGTTCAGTTTCTCTCCTCTTTCTTGATTAAATCACTACAGCTTTATTCTACTTTTGATTTTTTGGAGATTCTTGAAGATATTTTAAAGAAGATTGGGTTGTTCTTGAACTAGACAACATGAATAGTCTGGCGAAAGTTTACATGAATTCCACTTCCTTGGTTTCCCTTCCCTCTCCCCCCTTTAGTTATTCCCCCTCCTTCCCTTTCTCTCACTGAAATCCTTATCTTCCTCTACGTTTCTCCTTAGTCTTTCAGCTTCACTCAACTTCCTCTTTCTTAACTTGCTCTCTTCCCTTCCTTTCTGTAGGAAAACCATCAAATCATTCGGATTCTTCACTTTACACCCTAGTTTCTCTACAAATTCTTCAACCGAACCCTCCTTATCATTTTCCTTGGTACCATCTCTCCCCTTTATCCTCATTCTTCTCTTTCCCTACTTCCTTTGTCTGCCAGTTCCCATTTATACTTTCACCCCCTAGACTTCTACCCAAGGTTCAAAATTTCATTATGTATCGGCATGTATCGGCCGATATGTATCGTATTGGTGGGTCACCAATACGCGAAATGTAAGGAGTTTCGGGGTATGACCTGTTTTAGGGGGTAACGAGGCCTTTAACGGACCCCCTGAACATATTTTGAAAAAAAACTAAAAAAATATATAAAAGAGTGTCGATACAAAGTCTGATACACCCAATTTGGCGTATCGAAACTTTGAACCTTGCTTCTACCCATGCTTTTTTTCTTTTCAGTTCTAAAAAAATTTCTATTAACTTCCAAATCTTCTCCCCCACTTCCTCCTCATCTTCCTTAAAACCCCTTCTCTCCATACTATCCACCCCAAAGGTACAAATGGACTTGTGGCAAGATGGCTGGTTGGGAATCTGGACTAGAGGCAACAGACAAAAAGTTAGTACCAGACTGGAAATTCACAGCCATACCTTGGGTGGACTCTGGGAGAGGATCAGCAGAAGTGTAAGGAATTCACAACAATTCTCTTAGATGAACCTATTTGTTGAGAAGTATTTCCTGCCATAGACTTATCTTTCAACAAACTCCTTAGGCTCTGTAGCTCATCTTTGGTTTGGTCATCACTACCTGGCTGCCAACGATCACCTCCTACCTGCTCACCAATAGCCTGCTCTTTGTCCGTCAACTGGTTAGGTTTTTCCCCATTCAGTTCCAGGTTCTCACCCCCTTCAACTACGACACTCTCAACATTGTTTATGCTCATTTTTTTTATTGGAAACAGTAACTTCATTAAATAACTTTCCAGATTTAAGTACAGCTGGCAACCCCTAAGTAGGTGTTGAGCCCCAGTTATCTTTCTTACAAAACTGCCCAGAACATACTCTCCCTCATAGTCCCTTGTTTAGCCAACATGTCAGCTAAACCATTAGCTGATCTCCTTGTCCATTTGAAGCATGCACTGATCTCCCTTGTTGTGTTGTGGATTTCCCTTATGGGCTGTCTATAAATCCAAGCTCCCAACTTACCAGATTGCAGCCACTTGATCAACAATTTAGAGTCTCCCTCAATCTCAATTTGGTGTAACCCCAACTGTTTTGCATATCTTACACCTTGAAGCAAGGCCATCACCTTCGCTCTCAATGAGGCCCCCCCTCCTATTGGTCCTGAAAACAAACCCACAATTCTGTCATTTTCATCTTTGAAAACTCCTATACTTGAAGGGCCCGGGTTACCTCTTGAACTCCCATCAAAATTCAATTTCACTCTTTGTCGTGTTGGTGGGGACCACAATTCCTGCACAATAGGTTTCATGGAAGTTGTAGAAGCCACCCACTTCCCAATTCCTGTAAATGTCTTCAGCTGAGAAGTCTTTAAACAAATCCAAAGTTTTCAACCAATGAATAGTCATAATAATTATCCTTTCTACAATTGCGTCCTTGGATTTCTCCACACCTTTAAAGATTCTATTATTCCTTTCTTCCCAACTGACCATAAGATAGCTGCCCTTGTGGCTCTCCACATTAATCTTCCACATCTCTTTAGTTGCCTGAAAAAGCTTGGGTCAAGAAGGCTTGCCACATCTGGGGGAGGTGTCCACCTACAGCCAAAGATAGAAGAGAACCAAGTCCAAATAAAGCATACAAATGGACAAGAAATCAATAGGTGTGTGATCGTCTCACCAGATCCCAAGCAGAGGCTGCAAACATGGGGTGATAGGCAAACATTTGGCCTTTTTCTTTGCAACATATCTAGAGTATTGATTTTTTGGATAACCACCTTCCAACAAAAAGCCTGAACTTTTGGGGGTACAGGCTGACACCAAATCTCCTTTGAAGGAAAGCTCCTTACAGGGTTTGATGATTGAATGAGGGTATCAAAAAAGGAAGAGCAAGTGAACACACCAGAAGGGGAAGGTTTCCAAATGCGTAGTCCACAGAAGATGATCCAGGTAAGTTGACCCTAGAAGGTTAATTAATTCATCCACCATTGTCATTTTCTGACTCCCTGAGACCCTCTCCTCAAACCCAAGTCCCAAGTGTTATTAGTAAAGGCTGAAGAGATCACTTTTCTTTTATTTTCAGAGAGTGAATAAATAAAAGAGAACCTTTCGTTAAGGGGAGTGTCTCCAACCCAAGCATCTTCCCAAAATAAGACGTTATTTCCTGCACAAGCATCAAATTTGACATAAGGAAGGAATGAAGGTAAAATACCATGAATAGCTTTCCAAGGAGAGCACCGGGGTCGACTCTTGCATCCCAACCATTGTCTGCCAATCCATGAATTCTAATAATACTCTATGCCAAAGTTTGTCCTGTTCTAAAGGCAATCTCCACAACCATTTCCCCAACAATGCTGTATTTCTTAGCCTAAGATTTCCTATTCCTAGTCACCCTTCATCTCTACTTCTAGAAACCACCTCCCACTTCACTAAGTAGTCTCTTTTGGTGTCTCCTGGTTCCCAAAGGAAGTCCCTCATAATCTTCTCTAGTTGGTTTGCTACTTTCACCGATATCCTAAAGGTAGATAGGAAATACACTGGTAAGTTAGCCAACGTTGACTTTATCAGGGTTATTCTACCTCCCAAAGAAATGTAATTTCTCTTTCAATTCGCAAGTCTCTTTGTAAATCTCCCAATCACTGGGTACCAGAAACTATCCATATTAGGATTTCTTCCCAAAGCTAGTTCCAAATACTGTAATGGCCAATCTCCTACCTCACACCCCAATATTCCAGCTAATCGAATCACCTCTTCACTCCCTAAGTTTACTCCTGCCACACAACTCTTGCCCCAATTAATCTTTAGGTTAGAGGTCCTCTCAAATTATGGACTATCCTTTTTAGGTTCATGAGTTCTTCAGTTTTCCCTTCACAAAACATAATAATGCCATCTGCAAATTGTAAATGTGTAACCCCCACTTCATCCCTTCCAACTCTCCAGCCTCTAATCATATTGTTGGCATCTTCCCTTATGATCAACTCACTCAACACATCAGTTGCTAGAGTGAAGAGGAAGGGAGATAGAGGATCTCCTTGTCTTAGGCCCCTTTTGGCAGGAAAAAAATCTCTTGCTGCTTCATTTACCAGAATTGAAAAATGACATGAAGTAATGCAGTCGTTCACCCATTTACACCATCTCTCTCCGAAATCCCTATGCTTAAGAATTTCCAACAAAAACTCCCAATCCACCATGTCATAAGCTTTCTCTAAATCCAATTTGCACACCATTCCCTTTTGTTTTTTCCTTCTTCTAACCTCTAAACATTCATTGGCAATAAGGATTTGATCAATTATTTGTCTCCCAAACACAAAAGCCCCTTGATTTGGAGAAATCATCGAGGGAAGAACATATTTTATTCTTAGGGCTAAAACCTTGGAAATGATTTTGTACATGCTACCTATCAGACTTATGGGCCTAAAATCCTTTGGTTGAATTGCATCCACTTTCT